TGACGATATTACAATGTTGGAAAACCTTGACGATCGTCGAGAAAATGTTGAGAAAAAAATAACATAGCAATTAAATACTTTAAATAACACAGTCAGCGAGTAGCATTGAAAAAAGTACAACAGAAAAAATGAATATTTTAAACTATCAGATAAAAATACAAATACATCCGATAAAAAATTATATTGCATTATTTTCCAATTAAAAAAAAAAAGACCAATTATATAAAATTAAAAGACTATTAAAGTGTACTAACTCTAGGGCTCGACGGTGTGCATTTACCGCGTACATTATCTTCTTGCAAATTGCGCGTTCTTTTTCGGAATTGGACACATGTTGCAACACACTGTCATCTGAAGTAAAGTATCTTATACGATGTCTGCAAATCATTCCAGCTTTTATTTACGATCACTTTCGTTACGATTCGATTAACACTCACCTGGTGATTTTGAACATGCCGCAGGAATGGCACAAGAGTATTAGCAGTTGCATTGACGTGGAAAATATCACCGTCGCGCATATCACAATAAACATAATCTCGTGTAATACTATAGTATAAAAGTAGTGATTCTTAGAAACAAAATATTCTACTGCAACAAGAAAATTGCATTGACGAGGTTCATCCAGTGGCAAGACAACGTCAAGAAAAATTGGAAGAAATTGCAAAACGACTGCAGTGGCAACGACAAAACAAGTAAACGCTGTACAGAAAACAAATACCACTTCATAAAGTTCGATGCTTAAAAATACTGATTATATACTTATTATTTATACTTTACAAATACAATAATGAGTGCAAGATTTCATATCTTATGCACAACATTAGTCCTTACAAAACCCGAGAGTAAGATAAAAATGAAAGTTGTGAGCGTTCTCTTGTATAATATCGTGTTCTATATTGTCACGTATTAACATCCAGTCCTCTTCTATTCGTTTATGTATATTCAACATCTGTCATTGAAACATGTATTTTACTGCTTGCTGTAACTAGAATATAGCTGATGAAGAGAAATGACAGCAACTCACGACGTCGGATTTGAAAATGAAAACGATGTACTTCATGACTATTACAGTAGACGGGCAAGCAATTGCTGTGACCTTAACGAAGAGTGTAATAGTAAATTTCTCTGTAATAAACACTGACAACTGCAAACGTCACAAAAACATGTTCGATAATTCCAACAATATTGCAATAATCGTTCAATGATGTGCTTTGTACGATTCTCGAAGTCAATCTGTAAGTTTATGTCGTTTTCATTGTAATATAGATAATCAATGTTACCTGCGCACACAAATATGGCACAAGTATCAGTAAAATCATCACACGCTGCAAAAGTACTAGTCGCGATTTATCACGATGCCAGATGCCTAAGATCTTCAATAAAAAATTAGTAATTGTATCATAGTACTGTTCTTCAATAAGATTCATATCGCACAACGAACAAACTGCGACTGAACGATGGAAAACATCGAGAAATATATTGTACTTTTACCGCAGTATTCGCTCTTTTTGTTCTTTCAAATTATCCAAAAATGCTGACTAATGTTCCAAACGATTGTAGCGAATTACCGATTTATTTTTAATGCAAAACTAGCGCGATGTATGTTAACAGAATTCTTACGGTCGCGCTTATACGCGATATTTTTCTAGTGTACGAAAATTACCGTAATTGCTCGGTAAAAGATTGGTGCGTTACAGTGCGCGACAATATTGTTCTTTATGTTTCGCACAACCCCTTTGATTCTGACGCACTTGCGCAGTTGCAACCGGAATTTGTCATTTACCAAGAGACGAACAGTCACTTCTCGGCTGTCGAGCGCTACGGATAGGAATCACGAAAGAACGAATCTGCTTCTAAGTGACAGTTCGAATCGACTAGATTGTATTATATACTAGTTCACATTACATTTCACAAACTATATTAAGTATGTTTAACGAGCTTTTCGAATCGATGTTTCATTTCACACAACTTACTCAATTGTCTAGTTTCTTTTATAAATGTGGTAAGTAGTAAACACACACGAGTACGTATGTAGACAAAAGTACATAGAGAAATATGTAGTTCTTTCTTTACATATTTTTTGACAAAAATTGAAGCTGAGTGTCGCAAAGGTCTTAGAAATTCATACTAATAAACTTAATGTGTACAGCTATACATCACGGCGACGTAGGACAGCGAGGCATTCAAGAGCTAAGAAAGAGAAACGTGATTTGTTTGAGACTTTTAACAGATTTTTTAAATATAAATCTTACCGTAGCAAAAGTTTCTATTTTTGCTACAAGTAGATAGCCAATAATAAGGCAAAACTCTTTGCCAGTTTTTTGCAGTAAAAACAAGAGAAGTTTCTGCGACGATACGGGCATCAAGTACCACAACGAGTCATATCTTAAAATTAAAATGAGAATATAAAGACGTTCCATGTTACACGATCGTATAAAAGGAGTAATTGAAATAGAAAAGCAAAAGTAATTCTACTATTAAAAAACGTCTTTATGGTAAAATCAGTGTCACAGCAAAGTAATCACTTACGTTGCACTGAATACTTTGTCATTGGAATCGGTGATTTTCTGTCCGACCAACATCGCCGCAAACATATAAATTAGATGTCCTACTACGGAAAGTAAGTACAATATTGCATTTTGAGGGATTTTGGATACCGTAACCGCTTCAACGATCTGACATATATCATAAAGTGCATTTTAGTCATAGATATAAATTTATATTGAGACACACATAAATTTTAACTTTTTTTACGAAAACGTCTTACTTACGCCAAACAAATTGATGCTCAACGACACTATTCCAACGATAGCTATAAAGCAGTACGGCGCATTAAATGACGATGCTACAATGTTGGAAAACCTTGACGATGGTCGTGAAAGTTGAGAAAAAAGTAACATAGCAATTAAATAGTTTAAATAAGACAGTGAGCGGAAAACATTGAGAAAAGTACAAAAGAAAAAAAATATATCCACCAAGTGGATAAAAATACAAATACATCCGTTGAAAACTTATATTGTATTACTTTCCAATTAAAAAAAAAAAAAAAAAAAACAATTATACAAAAATAATAGACTACGTAATATTACAGTACTAACTCTAGGGCTCGACGGTGTGCAATTACCGCGTACATTATCTTCTTGCAAATTGCGCGTTCTTTTTCGGAATTGGACACATGCTGAAACACACTGTCATCTGAAGTGATGTACCGTATACGATGTCTGCAAATCATTCCAGCTTTTATTTACGATTATTTTTGTTACGATTCAATTAACACTCACATGGTAATTTTGAACATGCCGGAGGAGTGGCACAAGAGTATTAGCAGTTGCATTGACGTGGAGTATACCACCGTTACGCATACCACAATAAACATGATCTCGTGTAATAATATAATATAAAAGTATTGATTCTTAGAAACAAAGTATTCTACTGCCACAAGAAAATTGCATTGACGAGGTTCATCTAGTGGCAAGACAACGTCAAGAAAAATCGGAAGAAATTGCAAAAAGACTAAAGTGGCAATAATAAAACAAGCAAACGCTGTACAGAAAACAAATACCATTTCATAAAGTTCAATGCGCAAAGAAACTGATTATATAGTTATTATTTGTGTTTTACAAATACAATATTGTGTGCAAGATTTCATATCTTATGCACAACATTAGCCCTTACAAAACGCGAGAGTAAGATAAAAATGAAAGTTGTGAGCGTTCTCTTGTATAATATCGTGTTCTATATTGTCACGCATTAACATCCAGTCCTCTTCTATTCGATTATGTATATTTAACATCTGTCATTGAAACATGTTTTTTATTTACTACTTGCTGCAACTAGAATATAGCTGATGGAGAGTAATAACGGCAACTCACGACGTCGGATTTGAAAATGAAAACGACGTACTTCATGACTAGTACAGTAGACGGGCAAGCAAGTGCTGTGACTTTAACGAAGAGTGTCATAGTACATTTCTCTGTAATAAACACTGCGTACTGAAAACGTCAAAAAACAAGTTCGATAATTCCAACAATATTGCAATAATCGTTGCATGATGTGCTTTATAAGGTTCTCGAAGCCAATGTGTAAGTTTATGTCGTTTCCATTGCAATATAGATAATCAATGTTACCTGCGCACACAAATATGGTATCAGTATCAGTAAAATCATCACACGCTGCATAAGTACTAGTCGCGATTTATCATGATGCCAGATGCCTAAGATCTTCAATGAAAAATTAGTAATTGTATTATAGTAGTGTTCTTCAATAAGATTCATATCGTACAACGAACGAACTGCGACTGAACGATAGAAAACATCGAGAAATACGTTGTAACTGTAGCGCAGTATTCGCACTTTTTTTTCTTTCAAATTATCCGAGAATGCTGACTAATGTTCCAAACGATTGTACCGCAATACTGATGTATTTTTAATGCAATACTAGCGCGATACATGTTGACAAAATTCTTACGATCGCGCTTACACGCAATATTTTTCTATTGAACGAAAATTATCTAAGTTACTCGGTAATGTGTAATGTAGTTACGTCTCGATGCGCGATAAATTGCTCTGTATATCTTTCGCACAAGTCCTGTGGTTTTTGCACCTGCGCAGTTGCAACCGGAATTTGTTATTTACCAAGAGACGGAACAGTTACTTCTCGGCCGTCGTGCGCTACGGTAGGGAATCACGAAAAGACGAATCTACTTCTTAGCAAGATTTATATATATATATATAAGAGACTATTTCAAACTAAGTAGTTTATATTTGACGTTCACAGTACAACACTTGACAAACTATGGTAACGTGAACGAGCTATTCGACAACAATTATTTTATTTTACATGACTCACGTATTGTCTCGTTCTTTTTGTAAACATGAAAAATAGTGGACACACGTGAGTATTTATGTAAATATACATACAGAAAGGGGTGTAATATTTCTTACATATTATTTGACATTAATAAATGCAGAGTGTTGCGAGTGTCATCTTAAAATTTGTTCTCGATGTTCTCAATGAGCGCAGCTGTACATCACCGCAACGTAAGACAGCGAAGCATTTATAAACTAAAAAGACGAACGAGTAATGTCATACATTTGTTTCGTATACACGTTATTTGTACATTACATCTTACCGCAGCGAAATTTTCAATCTTTGCCACAATTAGAAAACCGATTGTGATGCAAAATTCTTTGCCAGATTTTTGCAGTAGAAACACGAGAAGTTTTTGCGATGATACAGGCATCAAATACCACGATATGCTGTATCTTAAAATTGAAATTAAGAATATAAAAACTATTCCACGTTAGATGATCTTGTAGAAAAGATGGTAAAAAAAGGAGACAAAAAGAGCTTTTGATACTATAAATAGATTCTTATACTTATGACAACAACGAAAAGTCAAAATAAATTAAATACATACGTTCCATTGAACACTTCGTCATTGCAATCGGTGATCCTCTGTCCGACTAACATTGCCGCAAATAAATAAACCAGTTGTCCTGTCACGGTGATTAGAAAAAATACTGCATTCTGATTGATTTTGGATACCGTTATCGCTTCAACCAACTGGCATATGTTAAAAAGTGCAATTTACTAACAAAAATAGTTTTACATTGATACGCACATATAAGTATATTTGTTGTTGTAAAAAAGTTTTGTACTTACGCCAAACAAATTGATGCTCAACGATAGCATTCCGAGAATAGCTATAACGCAGTACGGAGCATTAATTGACGATATTACAATGTTGGAAAACCTTTAAGATCGTCATGAAAGTATTAAATAAAAAGTAAGGTATCAGTGCGCAATACGAGACATTTTCATAAAAAGTGCAGAAGAATTTAGGTAAAAATCTTAAGTAATCAGCTTTAGAAATATAGTCAATTAATGTGATAAAAAAACATAATATTGTACTTCTGTATGTAAAAACGAAGATAATAGTATATAATATACAAGAAGCCGCAACAATGCATTTGAATACTAACTCTAAAGCTCGACGGTGTGCTTTTACCGCATATTTTATCTTCGCGGAAATGACGCGTTCGTGTTCGAAATTTGATACATGCTGCGACATGCTGTCCTCAATCAAGTACCGTATACGATGTCTGTAAATCATTTCAATTTTTATTAGTGATCTTAATCGCTCAAACAACACAATTGTCAATCACCTGGCAATTTTAAACATGCCGAAAGAGTGAGAAAACAGTACTACTAGTTGCATCGATGTGGAAAACGTAACCGCCGCAAACACCACGGCAAACACGATCTCGTGCATCAATACGGTGTAAAAGTATTTGTTCTGAGATGCTAAAGATTCCATCGCAACAAGACTGAATTGACGAGGTTTGTCCAGTGGCAGAATAACGTCGAGAATAATCGGCAGAAATTGCAAAACAATTAAAGTGGCAAGGACAAAACAAGTGAACGCTATACGAGACATAGAAAAAACACAAAATGATTTCATAAAGTTCGATGCGCAAGAAATGATATTATATAGTTATTATTTGTAAGTGTTTCACAGAATATCAAGAGTGTGAGATTTCAATTCTTTACATGCACAACGTTAGTGGTATTCCTTACAAAACGTAAGACTAAGATAAAAATGAACGCTGTGAGCGTTCTCTTGTATAATATCGTGTTCCATATTGTCACGCATTAACATCCAGTCCTCTTCAATTCGTTTGTGTATATTCAACATCTGTCACATCAAAACACATTTATTTTATTTAATACCTGTTGTAAACTCGAACGTGTAATTGTTACTTGCGCGTGGAAAATGACGGCTACTCACAACGTCGGATTTAAAAACAAAAATAATGTACATCATGATCATTAAAATACACGGGCAAGCAACTGCTATGGCTCTAATGAGAACCGTTATGGTATAATTCTCTATAAAAAACACTGAGAACTGCAAACGTCAAAAAAAAAAAATTCGATAATTCAAACAGTATTGCAATAATCGTTCCATGATGTGCTTTATAAAGTTTCTCGAAGTCAGTTTGTAAATTTGTGTTGTTTTTGTAATACGAATAAATCCCGCTGTTACCTGCATGCAAGCAAATGGCACAAGTATCAATAAAACCATCACACGTTGCAAAAATACGAATCGCGATTTATCATGATGCCAAATGCCTAACGCCTTCAATAAGAATTTAGTGGTTGTATTGTAATAATGTTCTTGAGTAAGTTTCATATTGAACAACGAACAAACTGCGACTGAGTGACAGAATACATCGAGAATGACGTAACTTGAGTGAATATTCGCAATTCTTTCTTTTCAAAATTATCTTGCGAAAAATGACTAGCGCCCGAAACAGTTGTGCTGAATTACTGTTGTATTTTTAATGCAATACTCGAGCGATACATATTGATAAAATTCCAAAGGAAAACCGCGTGATCGCGATATTTGTTTGAAAATTACCTAAATTGCTGCAAAGTGTTATTGCGGTTCTAATCGCGATAACACATGCGGTTGTAATGTCGCTGTGTGTCTCATCGCAGAAGTTTTTCTTCGCGTCTGCGCATTATGCAACTGCGAATCGAGAGGTTTCGAATGACAGAACAGTTTCTTCTTAGCCGTCGAGCGATGCACTGACAGAGTGCAATAACAAACTGACGAGCCTGTTGCTTCCAGGTGAACAAAAATTTTTACGTAGCACATATTCGACGGTCTCATTTAGTTGTATCGTATATTTGACATGTTTCATGTAAACATTTTAAAGATAAGTAACACATTTTACAGATATATAGACATGTATAGCGTTCACAAGATTATTCATAAAAAAATGAGTCCTGAGTACAGAAATACTAAGATTATTGATTAAAACAGCTATACATCACAGTAACGTAGGATAGCGAAGCTGTTATCATCTAAAAGAAAACAGGTTTGAGGTTGAACACGTTGTAGCAAAATTAACCATTGTCAGATGTGGATAGAGAGAGTGTCTTACCTTGCCGAAGTTTTCTATCTTTCCCTCAACTACAAAGGTTTTGAAGTAATAATCTTTGGTGCCGTTTTGCAGCAAAAACAAAATGAGTTTTTGCGATGATACCGGCATCGAATACCACGACGTACTGTATCTTACAATTGCGTTAAAGATAAAGAAGTAGCGTTTATATAAAATTCTGATTAAAGTCTCAAATTAACACATAGAAAACGTACTTACATCACCGTAAAAAATTCGGTGTTGTGATCACTGAACTTCTGTGCCAAATGCAACGTCATGAACGAAAGTAGTAGATATCCTATTACAAAACCCAAACATATAATTGCGGAGATCTTATCTTTTGACACTGTTACCGCATCAATGATCTGCATTTATGAAAATTTATAATTGCATATCTATCCGAAGATACTAACAGTATGTGTTACTTATTTTTAGAAACGTTGTAATATTATCTCGATAATAATACTACAATATTCTAAAGTGACACATAGATACTTATTTATCAATATATCTATGTGTCTCGCGTAGCACGATAAAAGTTTTACTTACACCATACAAATTGATGCTAAGTGCGATTATTATCGTTGCATATGCAAAGATAAATTGTTCATTAAAAGCTGTCAATAGTGTCTTGAAAAACCTTTAAAATTAGAGAAATAATAACTGTGAATTTCTCTTGAAGCAATTAAAATATCACTTGGATACATTATCGGGATACAATACTTGGTGAAAATTTAATTCGGAACTTAGAACAATCTTAATACTGCTAAGTATAACATCGCGTTCTGTCTCTTATCGAAAAGAAAATCAATTAGTGGCAAAAGTGTAGATAGAAAAAATATACGATATATTTCGGCTTGCTCTTTAATTATAAAAAATGTAAAAAAAATGATGATATACTAACTTCAGAACTGCACGATGTACAATTACGGCATGCAATATCACTTTGCAAATGGAGCGTTTCTGATTAAGCTTTGGTACGTGGAAAACACTATTTCTAACAAAATATTGCATTCGGTATCTGCAAATTATTATATTTATATTTTTTAATTTGTAATAGGATTATTATAAATAACATTCATTTGTGTCAATCACCTGGCGACTTTTACCACGCCAATACAATGAGAAACGAACAGCAGATATTGCATTAGTATGGAATAACACACTATACCGCCCACAAAAATGGCCATGAATTCATGCAGCACTTTTTTGTAAAAGTGCTTATCTTGAGAAACAAATAAATATTCCACCGGAACAATAAGAGTGTGTTGAGATTCATTGAGTAGCAAATTAATGTCAAGAATAATCGGAAGCAATTGCAGACAGACGACAATAACAAAGCTCGTACTAACATACACTGTAAGACATAAAAAAATCTAACTGTGCATGTGAACTTCCACACACACATATACATGTAAATAATTATATTATTTTCTTAATCTATGAGGTTTTTATATTAGATCTGATCTAATATAATCAAAATTATGTTAATCAACCACTCTCCACAATACAAAGTAAAAACTTTGTCTTTCTCTCTCGATTGGCATTAATTTCAAGATACAACATACAAAAACACTTCTTACAAGAACAAAAAACAAAGTATATTCGATTGGCGAACGCGTTGTCCTGTAAAATATCGTATTCAGCTTTATCACGGAACATTTTCCGGTTTTTGTTGAACTGAACGTCCAAATCTAGCATCTATAATTCAAACATTTATCAAATTAACATTAACATTTAACTTATTACTGTTTCGTTTGAAAAAAAAAATTGAAATAATCTGTTCAGTTGTATGCCTTGTGAATAGATCAAATAATAACAATAACAACTCACAATAACAATAAAAAATACAACTCACAAGTGATATTTTGGACACATACAAAATGTATCCTACGAATATTAGGAAAAAAGAAGAAATAGTTGACGTAACTCTAAGAACAAGAGTCATGGAAAATTGTGCTGTAAGAAATATTAAAAACTGAAAACAAAAAAACAATACGTATACGAAATTAAATTTATAAGAATAGCAGAATATATTCGCTCTCGCAGTACGTTTTCAGAAAAGTAGCCAAGTCAAAAAATTCACGCCAACTGAGTTTCAAAATAATATTATTAAAAAAAAAGAAAAAATATAAATAAATAACTCCGTTTGTCTCAAAAGTGTATGAGTAAACGCGTGATTANCTGCATACAAAGATATGTCCCGAGTAGAATCAAAACCATCGCCCGTTGTATTAGTACAAGTCGCGATTTGTCATATGGCCATATACCTATTGACTTCAAGAAGACTTTGACGATCTCGTAGAAATGATCTTCGGTCAGATTCATGTTTCACTCACGGACAAATTGCAACTGAACGACGCAAAAATATTCGAGAGCCACCTCGGACAAAGCAAGCGTGGCAAAAATATGTTTGCAATTCTCTCAATTCTTCAAATTGTCTGAGAAACCTCAACGAGTGCGTGCAGAAAAAGTTTGAATAACCAATAATTGTTTCAATATATCCGAGCGATATGTAATACATCAAAATTATTCTAACGCAAAAACTGGAGATCGATGTTTGTTCGAGCAACAGATGAAAATTACCTAAATTGCTTTGAAGCGCCGTTGAGACNCATTGCGCGATAATATTACTCGATCGCTGTGTGTCTTCGCGCAATACGTATGTTTTTTTGCACCTGNGCAGTTGCAGTCACGCTCCAGACACGCTTGTTTCATACAATAGTTTCTTCTCGGCCGTCGAACGCTATACCAACAGAATGCAATAACGACCTGCTGCTTCAAACTGAATAAGACAATACGCAAAAGACTGCCATAACATTTAAGGACGTTCTCCGAATTATTGATTTTCTTTTCTTTAAATTTGCGGTAACATAGTTTATAATCTATTTATACGTAGCCTGTTTGGATAACAAATGTAGCAATGTTAAATTCTAAAATATGGAAGATTTACATTTCAATTTTTAACATGGATTTCCTATGCTGAGTCTTTGTGAAGTGGGGTTTTTTAAAATTACTGACGACAATTTTCTTAGGATTTTTATAAAANACAAGTATGTGGTAGTGAAGAGTGTCCTAATTAAAGTACGACTTTGAATAATATGGCAAGCAACCCTTTTTTTCAAACTGTAACTTTTTTTTGTTTTTTTGGGGGGGTTTTTTTTGTTTTGCTGGATTTATGTGCGCTGTGTACTGCAGCTATTTTTGAACTTCTGCGCAGAGGAAGCGGGTCTTAGCAGTGCTGAATAGCTCAACTTACCTTTGTTACAGCAGTACAAACTTACTCATGAGAAGAGATATTTTAGGTTACTAACCACTGTATTTAGGTTGCTAACCACTGTAGTCGGAGAACGTCCTTAAGTCTACTTATTGGAAATCGAGATTATTCACTTGTACATATTTTACACCTCATCGTATAAATACATTTAAAAACGTACGTGTCGTATAAATTTTCTTCCCGTGACAATTTTTTATCTCTGCGAGCGTTATCTCGCTCCGCCCGAAACATTTGTGTGACTGTGTGTGAAAAACGAACAGAGAAGAACGCTGTTCTGGCCACAGGTGAGAGAAAGACGCTACTTACGCACAAATCCGCGGCATGTTACACAAATGCAATTTTTTTTACCAGTGGTCTATATATTAATTTAATCGTCAATTGTTTACTTATGAGGAAGTTACAAAATCAAAGTTTACTTAGCAACCAATTTATAAAAATTGTATCCGAAGCACGTTCAACTTGCTAGAAAAGGACGCTGTTCATTATCAAAACTGTTTTCCTTATCTGTGCTATTCTTGTAAGCAAGAAGTAAAGAAATACACATGAATATTTATTGCATTAAATACATACAAAGTAATAAGCATACATAGTGTTCAATGATATTCGTACAAANTCTGATCTCCGGATACAAGTGTAGTGAGAATTATGAGTACACGCAGTTGTACATCATACAAACGTAAGACAGAGAAGCATTCATGAGCTGAAAAAAAAAAACACTTTGAGATTACACACCCGCACCCATGTAATGAAACCAATCATCGTTGATTTTCACGAAAGATGTCTTACCATAGCAATATTTTCCAATTTTCCCTCGAATATAAAACCGAATTTAAGATAATAATCTTTGCTGCCTCTTTGCAGTAAAAACAAAATGACCTTTTGCATCGAAACTGGCAGTAAATACCACAACGAGCCGTATCTTATAATTGCAAANAACAGTGAAAACTTTTCGTGAAAAAAAAAACTATT